TGGAGAGAGACAGACGGGTGGAGAGAGACAGACCTGCAGAGACAGACAGGTGGAGAGAAACAGACGGGTGGAAAGAGACAGACGGGTGGAGAGAGACAGACCTGCAGAGACAGACAGGTGGACAGAGACAGACGGGTGGAGAAAGACAGGTGGAGAGAGACAGACGGGTGGAAAGAGACAGACGGGTGGAGAGAGACAGACCTGCAGAGACAGACAGGTGGAGAAAGACAGACAGGTGGAGAGAGACAGACTTGCAGAGACAGACAGGCGGACAGAGACAGACGGGTGGAGAAAGACAGATGGAGAGAGACAGACGGGTGGAGAGAGACAGACCTGCAGAGACAGACGGGTGGATGCATCCAGAGGTTCAAACCTCCAGCCTCCTTCTCCATCGAACTGCAGCAGGTGAGAGTGGTACTTCCTGTTGGAGGAGAGAAGAAGAAGAAGAGACAGGAAGTTGAGAGTGTGTCAGCTGAGAGCAGCTCAGAGCTCTGCTGCCCCCTGCAGGACTACGTGTGTGTGCATGTGTATGTGTGTGTGTGTGTGTGTGTGTGTGTGTGTGTGTTCACTGACCACAGGGAGGGTCTGTGTGTGATGGACAGCAGAGCTATCCCAGCATCCTTTGCAGCCTGGAAGATGTTTCCCTCCACGTCGATGCTGACGGCGCTCGTACACTCGTCCAACAGAGCGTACCGAGGGCTGAGAGGAGAGGAGAGGTTACACGGTAAAGCTCCAGATCTCCAGATCCACATATGGCTGTACAGGTCATAAGCCCCGCCCCCTTCATGTGAGCAGACGGGACATAGAAACTCAAACATGTCAAATACATTTTTCCCAAAGATGGTTTCCGTCATTTCAGGTCGTTCTTATCAGGCTGCTGTCTGATCTGTGTCTGTTTCTCTCATGACTTTGGTCTCATTAGTTATTGGACGCTATAAAAACAGGGTCTGATGTCATGACCAGCTGAGTGTGCCAATCAGTGTGCTCCACCATTAATAATAAACAATAATAATAAATCTTATTTAAAGGCACCTTTCAAGGCACTCAAGGTCATCTTACAGAACAAGTAAAAGGCAATTAAATTTAGAAGGGCTAAAAGACAAATCAACCATCAACACAGTAAAATGTGAAATCTGCAGCAGAGCAATGGCAGTGAAACAGAACAGGCCTGTTTAAACAGGTTTTCAGGCGTCACGTTGCTTGCGCCTGATCAGACGGGTGTATGGGTGGGAACTCGAAACTGCAGAGATCACTACTGTACAGACTCTGGCTCCAAATGACATCACCAGCGTCACATGGCAGCAGCCGTGTGCGGCCATTTTTTGTACATTGGCAGGAAGTGGAGATGTGTCATCCATCTTTATCCTCCTGAGACCCTGTGTCCTCATATGAGGACGTCTCATTTTGGGTTTACATGACCTCACACTTCATTCTGCTGAACTCAGACCTGTTGTCCTCGTTCGTGGCCACTTTTTTGTCCCATCTAGTGGCCCTGGCGCAGCACCGAGAATACGACCAAACTTGACTATCCAGAGGAAGTAAAGTCGTGACAAGGTTTCCGTGTGGAAGGATAATTTGCACAATACAATAATCCATGTAAAAACAAGATGGCAGCCATCTCTGCCAAGTCAGTCTGCAGCCAACCCCGACACACAAGTGGACAAGGTCCAAAACCTGATCACAGGTCAAGGCTGAAACTTTATTTATGATTAATTATGTTTGTACTTCGATATGGAATACACATGTGACTAATTTTAGGAACAGTAACAAGCTAAGACACTGTTAATTAGAAAGTACTCGTCTGAAGACACTGGGACTTAATTATCACTGACGATGTTTAGTTTTTCATACTAATCAGGTCCAACCGATCCCAAATAGCAAATTTGGGAAATTAAAATTAAAAATACAAACCAAACAAAAGTTCGGGTCTCAGGAAGATGTAAACGTTATATGATACATACATATTAACACACGTGTATATGCAACAATATGAGATTTTTACTGTACGAAAACCACCTCAGAAAATATCAAGGTTTCACAGTATTACACAATTATTATTATTATTATTATTATTATTATTATTATCATCAGTCTCAGTGACCGTTAAAGTACTGTGTGTTTCAGTGTGTGTTTCAGTGTACTGTTGTAGTGTTGCTGTGTACCGGTGGTAGAACATGCGAGCCATCCCCATCCTCTGCTTCTCTCCTCCAGACAGGACATCCTTCCAGTCACTGACCGACTCCCAGCCTGACACACACACACACACACACAGATACAGATATTACAGTAGTACATGTAGTACTGTGTGTTTACATTCACATTCGTTCTGCTCACACTATAAACTCTGTACCACATGATGATGTCATCAAACTTTCCTCAGCTATTTCTGGAGAGCATAAATATAGTAATTGCATTACTATTGATACACACACACACACACACACACACACACTGACCTCCCTCTCTGTCCAGGATGTACAGCAGGTGGACGGTCTTAAGGATCTGCTCCAGATCTGAGTCTGTGACTCCTCTCTGAACCATCTCCTCCACCGAGTCCGGATAGATCACCTGGTCTCTGAGGGTCCCCTCTGACATGTAGGGCCTGTACAGTGCACAGTACAACATCACTACTACAGTATTAATACAGTACTACAGGTAGGTCAGCTGGTCTCTGAGGGGCCCCTGTGATGACAGAAATGTCCACCAGAGCTGTTGCCTGGGAACTGAATGTTCATTTCACGACTTTAAGCAATGTCCAATGTAGTTTCGCTGAATTTCACAGTACATCCAACCAGTCTCACAAGTCATGCGTTCACAATGATGACCTGCTGTCGGGTCCAGACCCTGCTGAGGATGATGAGCGTGCACATGAGCTTCACTGAGACAGTTTCTGATGGTTTGTGCCAAAGTTGTTCAAACCAATTACTGCTTCAGCTGTTCAGTAATGGTCTTGGATGATCTTGCTTATCAGCATCTTGATATGTCACATCTGTCAGGTGAACAAATTATCTTGGAAAAAGAGAAGTGCTGTACCTCTGAGGGATGTAGAACATGTGCTGTGGGTCTGGACGGTACAGCACTCCTTCATAAACAGGCCACAGTCCACTGAGGATCCTGAACAGAGAACTCTTCCCACAGCCGTTTGGACCTGTGATCAACACGTTCATCTTCTCGTCCACCTGAGAGACAAACAGAGACACAAGACCACCTTCATAAAACTAAATGCATAGACATAATGAGAATATATTATCACAGATATCCATCCATCATCTTCTGCTTATCAGCAGCAGTAGGCTGAGCAACATGCTCCAGACACCCCTCTCCCCAGCAACATTTTCCAGCTCCTCCTGGACGATCCAGAGGCAGAGATATATAATCTCTCCAGTGTGTTCTGGGTCTGCCCCGGGGCCTCCTATGAGTTTGACGTGCCTCAAAATCCTCTAACAAGAGGCGTCCAGTTGGATCCTGATCAGATGTTGAACCACCTCAACATGAAGGAGCAGCGGCTCTACTTCGAGCTCCCTCCAGATGTCTGACTCCTCCCCCTATCTCTAAGGTTGAGCTCAGACACCTTTCAGAGACGACTCACTTCAGATGCTTGTATCAGTGACCTCATTCTTTCAGTCACTACCCAGAGCTCATGACCATAGGTGAGGATTGGGGCGCAGCTGGACCAGGAAATGGAAAGCTTTGCCTTCTGGCTCAGCTGCTTCTTCACCACAACATGCCATAATGTCTGCATCACTGCTGATGCTGCACCGATCCACCTGTCATCATCTGTCCATCTCACACTTGATTTTACCCTCAATCATGAACAAGACCCTGACATTCTTGAACTCCTTCTCTTGAGGCACTAACTCTCTCCCATCCCAGAGGGGGCAATCCACTGTCTTCCAGCAGAGAGCCATGACCTCAGACTTAGAGGTACTTACTCTCATCTCAAACTGAATCCCTTCCTCCCCCCGGCTGCACCTTGAAATCCTCTCCATGAATATCAAAAACAAAATCGGTGACAAGGAACAACCCTGGTGGAGGAACAACACCCACTGAAAACGTGTTTGACTTTGTGCCAAGTGTGCGGACACAGCTCTCACTTTGGTTATATAGGGACAGGATGGCTCAAAGCAACGACCCCAGTACCCTCCACAGGACTTCATGGGGCACATGGTCCACAAAGCCACATGACCCCGTCTCCTCCTGAATCTGAGGTTAAACTATCAGTGAATCACACCACTCAGCCTTGTGTATAGATATAATTACAATATAATAAATTAATGTATATATTAGAATAAATAGAAGTATAGATATAATCATGAATGAAACGGTGGAAAAAAATATATATATAATAGATTAATGAACAGATATAAGAAAAATTATAATAAACACATGTATCGGTATATGAGCTGAAAAGAGACTTGGAGGACTGCAGACCCCAAACTCTTCCTCAAGACCGCAGTCTGACAGAACGGACCAATCAGAGAGCATCTGTCAGAGCACAGAGGTCAAAGGTCGAGAATCAGATGACAGAGAGGAGTTTCTGTTTCCATCAATGTTCTTCTTCTTCTGTTTCCTTCTTCCTCTCTTCTCCTCTGTCTGAGTCTGTGCCACAAAAATGTCCTGTTCCATAATCCCTCTATTGTGTTACTGTGCATCCACACACACGCACACACACACACACGCACACACACACACACGCACACGCACACACACGCACACACACGCACACACACACGGACGCACACACGGACGCACGCGCACGCGCACACACACACACACGTTTCAGTAAATGCTAATGAGCGCAGTCTCTGCTCTGACCTTTGACCTCAGAGATGGAAAGAATGAGAAGAAGAAGAAGAAGAGATTAAAGGAGGGCAGAGGGCTGACTGCACTGAGCATGCTCCATACTACAGTGACATCATCACCATCCTATGTGGATAGAATCAATAAAACTTATGTTACAATCAGTCGTTACTGTCTGAAAGTGTTCAATGTTGATTTATATTCATTTGTATCACTCATTTAATTTTCAATAAACATGTCAGCACCCATCAGAATCAACTTCCTGTCTGATTGTTTTTTATTAAAACAGATAAAATATAATTACATTTAAATATACAGTCTGTTCGACAGTCAGCTCTTTGTCATCAACACCCGAGTCATCAATTCATCTGTGGTCATCAACGGTTTCTTCTTCAACACTGACACCATGTGGTCACCAACACACACTGCATTACCCAGCTCTGTGTGTGTGTGTGTGTGTGTGTGTGTGTGTGTGTGTGTGTGTGTGGTACCTGGATGTTGAGGCTGGAAACCACCACATCTCCGGTTGGTGTGATGATTGGCAGGTTCTCACAGCGAATCCCCTTCTCCACACTGATCACCCGACCTGCACATGCACATTATATATGTGATATTAAATTAGTAATTGTGCTTCATGAGGACAGTAGAGAAAAAGACATGTGAAATAAAGTTAATTATTAACTGAGGAGGGAAACCTCTTTTATTAACACAGTAACTCTCACGTCTCTCATTTCCTGCCTCGTCTCTGACTGATGCTCCGTTCTGTGAGTGCTGTATGATATTCAGGAAAAATAACTACGCCATATTCTAGTATTCAGCCCTGAGTAGTGTCTGCAGGTAGGCAGCCTGACAGCTCAAACCCAGGGGAAAAATGTCTTCCAGTGCACAGTATTAATGTGACTGAACTCAGCTCTCACCTCTGATCTCCAGAGGACCACACACTCTCTGACCATGCTGGACCACAGCTCCTGCTGCTCCTCCTGCTCCTGCTGCTCCTCGTCCTGACACCTCCTCTCTGTCTGCAGAGCGCCGGTATATTCCCTGATTCACATCTTCAAACACGTCCAACATCTCAGAGACCCGAGAGGTGTAGCCTGCCAGCTCCGTCACCTGCACACACAGGCAGGAAGTTTATATACAGGCTGATGGAGAAAGAGAGGAGAAGAGGAGGAGGACACACAGGAGTTTATATACAGGCTGATGGAGACAGAGAGGAGAAGAGGAGGAGGACACACAGGAATTTATATACAGGCTGATGGAGACAGAGAGGAGAAGAGGAGGAGGAAACACAGGAGTTTATATACAGGCTGATTGAGACAGTGAAGAGTCACAGCCAAGGTGTGAAAATGAAGGACTGCCATTTTGAGTTTGATTTAGGTGAAGAAAGAGGAGGAAAAGGAGCAGTGGTGGAACAGAAAGAGGAGGAAAACAGCAGGAAGGAGAGGAGGAGGGGGTGAAGAGGAGAAGAGGAGGTGACGTAGGAAGGATGTGCACCTCCTTGTATGAGCTCATGATCCTCTCCACAGCATCGGCAGCAGCGTTCAGGAGGCTTCTGGCGGTGGTGAAGGCCTGAGTCCTCTCACTGACCAGATCCTCCTCCTTCATCACCAGGGCTGCCTGCTTCACCTCCTCGGAGTCTGACAGGTCAGAGATCACAGGTCGCACAGGATGAGGAATGTCAGGCATTAATCGCTTGTTACGTATGTTGGTCTAAAAGGTAATGTTGCTGCTCTTTAGTTTAGTAGTTGTACCGGCACCATGCTACAACAAATGCTACACTGGTTAGCTCACTGTGCATCACCAAGGTCAAGTGGGAGTTAGCTAGCATCACAGCTAATTTGGTCATAAGCTGGTGATGCCATCCTGTCTCGTGGTGGAGTTGCTGTGGAAACACTGTGCCCATCCTCTGGTCCCCATTGGTGAGTGAGTAGTAGTTTGTTTTGTTTAGTACTGTTAGCTCTGTTAGCAGTGTGAGCATGGCTAATGGTGCTAATAGAGCTAATAATGCTAACATACACTTACTCACCGTGATGACCTGAGGGGGAAAGACCAGAAGATGGACACCATATTTCTGCTGCAATGTCCTCCCACCACCATTGGTCGGGGGAACGTTATCAGCGTAATCGCCAAATTAGCGGTGCCTCTAACTAGCTTTTCCCAGTGGGAGTCAGTGGAGCACCGGACTAAAAGTAAAGGCCTCTCGTATTTCACCTCACTTTGTGTTTTTTAGAAGGGAAAGCTCTTTATCACCTCATAAAGTATGTCAGGAGTGTGTGTGATGTTTCGTTGGTGTGTATTTACCATATTTGGAATATCCTGTGGCGGTGATGATGGGCACAGCCACCATCACTAGACCGGATGCGCTCCATACGTACTTCATGAGGAACTGTTCCAGCATGACGTACCAGAGACGCTTCAGCAGAATCTGATGGATCTGAGAGGACAGGGACCTGTAGCTCCTCTGCAGCTGGGCCATCTCCACCTACGAAACAAACACACCCAAACATCATAAAGTAATAGTAATGACTTCCTGATAAAACTCTAGTTATGATTTAAAGCTACAGTTCAGTTTGTCCACTGGGGGGCGCTCACCTTGTGTCCCCCATAAAAGGCGATCTCCTCGGAGTTGGTAATGATGCGGGAGTGCATGTATCTCAGGTCTCCCTTCCTCTTCGCCTCCTCGGCCACCAGCTTCCCGAAGCGAGGCGAGCAGGAGCGCAGGACTTTGGCAGTGAACGCCACCACCAGGCCGGCGATGACTGAGGGCCACGTGGTGTTTGCTCCTGCAGAGAGGAAGAAGACAGTCATCACACTCCTCATCAGGACGACAGCTGTGTACACAGGTGTAGCAGGTGTAGCAGGTATACCTTTGGACTGGGCAGTGCGCAGCAGGGTGTAGCAGGTGACCACCACGTCCAGGATGGGTTTGGTCAGGTTGGAGTAGAGGTGAGCGATGGAGGCTGAAAACATCACAATGTCCTCCGTGAGAGACTGATCAGGGTTGGACAGACGGCCGTCCATGTTACTGACACGGTAATAAGTCTGCAGAGGAACACAGAGGGACGGACAGAGAGACAGAGAGGACAAATGAGGTGCTGTTGTAGAGTGTGTGAGTGTGTGTGTGTGTGTGTGTGTGTGTGTGTGTGTGTGTGTGTGTTACCTGGTTGGTGAAGTACAGCTGATAGGCGTGGTCGACCAATCGGCTCCTGAAGCTGAGGCTCAGCTGACCTTCAAGGAATCTGATGGCGCTGTTGATGAAGGTCGCAGGAACGGCGACGAGGAGCCACTTCAGGAGCTGCAGGATGAAGGCCTGAGGATCCTTCTGGACTATACACCTCACTATCATACCTGCACCATCAATAAATACACTTCAATATCACACCTGTCATAAAGGCAGACAGACAGACACAGACAGACAGACAGGCAGAGGGACAGACAGATAGATGGACAGACAGACACAGACAGACCGTCCAGAGAAGCCACATAGATGGACAGGAAGGTCCTGGTCATCAGGGTTAGTGAGTGCAGGGCAAGGAGGCCGATCTCTGGACACAGTAACCGTGGAAACAACAGCTTCAGCAGACGAGACAGCCTGAGGAGAAAGTCCCTGTTCACTGATGGAGACCTGAGGACAGACAGAACCACAGCAGTGAGACCAGTTCACCAGCTCTCTTTCATTCTGGTCTAACTGGTGTGTGTCAGCTGGTTTTGATTCATCCAAAATTCACCTTCGTCATGACGTCAACATGTGATAGAGGTGTCGCAGAGGACGGTCTGAGCTGTGATTAACAGTATCTTTACATGTGCTGTCACAGGTTGCGTGTGGTGGTGAAACGGTGGCGTCAGGTGACTGTACTAGTTTTGGAAGTATTTCTGATGATGTCACAGAAACCACTGACACATGTTCTGGATGTTTTTATCAGACTGTCTGTGATGTGTTGATGTTTTTGTTCTGGTGCTCTGCACAGATCTGACGCCTGTCCACCCGCCCACCTCCTGCCCCCGGCTCTCTGTAGCTTGGTGCGCCTCCATTTCTTTTCTTTTTTTCCTATGAACTTTGTTTATAGATTTTTACACACAAATAGATAATAGTGTTAAAGCACTTGTCAATGGCAGTGTGATGTAACAGTAGCGCAGTACAAAGGAAAACAAACGAACAAAAAAAACATACAATACTTCGAAGCTTTAGCCTGGTCTTATTTCACTTATTACAGTAAATAATGAACTTGCCCTTAAAGTCAGAGTCGGAGTAAAGATATGAAACAAAAACAGACAAGATTTAGTGGGTTATTATTCATGGACAGCTGGAAAGGTCATTTTCTTCACACAGGCAAAGAACGGCCCCACATCTTTTTAAATTTACTGGCAGAGCCTGTCAGTGTTTATCTGATCGTCTCAAGTTGTAAATTACTGAGAATCTGTTTAATCTACAAAATGTGGGAGAGCGGTGTTGATGATTTTAATCTCATTAGTATCAGACGTCTCGCCAATAATGTTAGAAAAGCTACAAGATCTGTTTCAAGCCTAGGCAAAGGCCAAACAGGGCCGTAATAGCATTAGGCTCGATAAGTGTCCCAGTTAGGTGTGCCACCACTCCCTGGTAAAGACAGCAGGTGGCACAGAGGTCCCCAGGGACCGCCGGTAGACAATAACCTTGTATCTTAAGGTTCATTAAATCCATCTGAATTCATGACTATGTAGGATAATACTACAGACGCTCCTGTTATCTTACAGTGCGCCTTGCGTTTGGCTACCTGCAAACTGCTTTCTGTGATCTGGGCCTGATGCAACTTTCACACCGCCACACAGTAACTCGCCGCCTCGAATCCCTTCAATGAGGGGAGAGCAGCAGGGAGGAAGTGGTCTCCAACACAGCTGTAGGGGGATGAATCAGTTTCCCCCCACATACAGATTTTGTTCTGCTGTGCAAAGTTCACCATGTTGAAGTTCTGTGAATAGCAGTCTGACTTTGGCCAATCAAAAAGCATCACAGAAGGAGACGGAAGACAAGATGGAGGAGCTGATGAGGTTGGCGTCTGAATACCCAGAGTGACAGCACCAGTAACATATACGACGGACAACCAGAAGAACAAACTGGACCTGCGATAACATTTCCACCAAACAGTGCAGAGAGCATGGAGATGGTCATTTCATGGATTTCTGTTTTACAGGCTAGTTTTCACTTCTGAAAGTGTTCAACAAAGTGCCAGCCGTCATCGCAGCTGCAGCCGCTTCTAAAGAGCTTGCAGGTAAGGACAGGACAGGTATCACACACCTGTTGTCTTTCTTCTTTTTGTCCACGGAGCTGGAGGAGGAGCTGCTGACCACGCCCTCAGGTAGGTTAGCTCCACCCAGCTGTTTACCTGCTGCACTCCCCTGATAACAAAACAAACACATGTCACCATCACTCTTCATCATCTGGCTGTCACAGTGTGTGTGTGTGTGTGTGTGTGTGTGTGTCTCACCTGTATCCTCCTCCAGACGTACGGTGACAACTTCTTGACGGCATAGGCGACGAGTATAGCGGCCGTCAGCTTCTTGAGCCTGGAGCTCCGCCTCAGCTGAGCCGGCAGCTGCTGATAGGTCAGCTGCATGCTGATGGGCAGGTGACAGGCGACCAATCAGAGGACAATAACGGTCCCAGAGGGGTCCACCACGGGCTGTAGTTTGGTCGTCATGTAAACAGCATGATGATGTCAGAGAGCTATGCTCCACCTGCAGAGTGACAGGAACCAACATGTTCTCATTTCCTCATATTGTGGCCGAGTATTTTCAGGCTGTTTGAAGATGTTGTCGCTGTGAGCTTTAAAACATGAACATGTGATGATCAATTATTGGAGAACATAATGATCAGAGTAATCCTTACATTACTATGTACAATACTTGTTCAGCTTTTCACAGTTGAGTCTGAGCCCTGACATGTGGGAGTGTTTACGAGCACACTGATGATCCTGTTTGTGTGTTTGCACAATTAGACATCAGATCCTGGTTTCAGACAGCAGACAGAATGACACCTGATCCAGGTGTGTGATCTGGATCAGCTGTTTACAGAGTTGTGGCTTCTGTCTGTGAGGTTAATTCTACTGTTGATCTCATCTACAGCGTGACTGTAAATATACCAGGTGATCAACATTGTGCATTCTTTAATTGTAACCATCCCGAGGCACACCTGTGTAGTAATGATGCTGATGATGTGCCACACCTGTCAGGTGGAGGGACTATCTTGGGAAAAGAACAAATAATCAATATATCTACTGAGTGCATAAAATAGTCTGAGATCTTAAACTTAAACGTAGAAAAAAAACGGGAGCAAAAACAAGTGTTGACTTGAAATTTCTGGTCAGTATTTGTGTGTTTATCAGTTTGTGAGCTGAAGCTAGTTCTCATCACCTCAATAAAATGTCAATAAAGTTTTGAATCTAGTTTAGAAACCAAGATCTTCCCAGTACATACTAATGGACTGTTCTTTATTTATCAGAGGAGGGGGCGGCTGGGGTTTGACTGAAGCTCCAGATATTATTCCATGACCCTCCCTCCTCCATAAATGAGTTATTAGATTTTTAAAATTTACCCTTTGATGTTTGAGAGTTAAAAGTTGAAGATGAAATCCTGGAGTTGGAAAAAGTCTCAGTTTTTCACTCTTGTTGTGCAAACAGTTTATTTTTGGACAAATTTCAAATGAGACGTAGAATAAAGTGATTTTTATGAAATATCACTATTTTAAGATCAGATTTGGTTATGGTGGTTTTTATCTGACAGAAGCGTTCATCGCACATGATGTGTTCAGAGGCTGTCAGAAATTTAAAAATCAAATGATAATTTCTGTTTTTACAGTTTCTGGCTGATAAATTGTGTCATTCTGGCCATTTTAAAACATTACAACATACATACTATTTTATACAAAGGAGAATGAGGGTCATGTTAAAAAAAAATCTTAGGTTTCGGGAATAAAGTCAAAATATTATGCGATTAAACTTATATTTCAGGAGGAAAGAGTCACAGGTTAAAACCATAAAATCAGGTAATGCGGTATAAAAGTGACAAACAGTGTTGGGGTGACAGTAATATATGTTTCAGCATACCAGAGTAATATAATGTGTTACCAACAAGATTTCAGGTGATATGTTACGTAACACGTGACAGCCTATAGTGACCAACAGCCTTGGACACAGGGACAGGCAGAGAGAGGATCAAAGTCTGCCGGTTCCCAGTGTGCCGGTCAGCTACAGCAGCACCACAGAGAGAGTTATGACTAACAACAGGTGTGTGTTGGTGTTGCTCTGCAGCTGTAGATGTGAATGGAAACACATCCAACATACAAACGCACATGCGATGGCTTCACCCAGATGTATTGATCACTGGGACGAGGAAAATACACCAGATGCCAGCTCCTGATCCTCGCTGCTTTCAGGTAGCCTCAGGGCACAAAGGCTGAACAGGATACGGTGTAGGTTTATGAATGTAAACACAGTGAACAGGATAACACACAGTGCAGCATGACCCAGGGGTGCTGAGCACCAGCGGCACCCTTTTATAATGTAGTCTGTGCCATGACACAACAACCTTTGGATGGTGTTTTGTCTCTTGGTGCACTGACAGAGGTGGAGTGGTGTGGATGAATGAAAAATAAAAACAATAAACTGTTTATTTTAGGTGGTAACATGTTATGTGACATCATACATGTAATTGTGTCACCTGAACTCTTACTTCTGTACTGCCACATCATATATTATTGTCACCCAAACACTGCATGTACACACTTTGTCACTTTTTATATCATGATACTGACTCTCCATCTTTAATCTGTGACTTTGTTCTCCTAAAATTACAAATTTAATCTAATAAAATTTTGATGTTATTCTTGTAGATTTATGACTTTATTCTACTTGTCTTTTTTTTCTTTAACATGGCCCTAATCCTCCAGCTCAGATTTTACTATGGGTTTTTTTTCTGACTGAAGCATTTGTGGCACATGATCTGTCCACAATCACTTTTTGTTTTTGGTTCCTGGCCGAGACACATGGTGTCATTTGGGCAATTTTTGAGGAAAACATGTTTCCTAACCCGTGTGCAGGGTGTAAAACACACATTTCAACCATTTAAATGTGTGTGCCCCTCCCCTCAGCCAAATAAGCAACATAAGTCCCTCCCTGTGCTTTAACATTATTTGATATGCTTCCCCCTTTTTGACCTCCCCCCCCCATAAATAACGAACAGTCCCTAATATATAACACTACTCATAGGAGTTATATAAAGTTACTCACAGTGTGTGTCTGTGTCTCCGTCCGTTAAACCCACCACAATGGAGTTTGGTTCAGTGACCTGTTGAACACTCAGCCTGAGGAAACCCGGTAACACCGAATAAAACCAGCAGCGGTGAAGTCGGTCCAGCTCAGGGCAGAGAGCTCCCGTTAGCTCCGGTCACGTTGCCCCCGTTAGCTCCGGTCACTGAGCGCTAGTTAGCTCCGGTTACAGTTCGGTTAGCTTCCACGAGTAGCAGCCGGCTAACGGCACAAAGCTAACTGGTACTAACTGAGTTCCGCATGAACACACATACTTTAAATAACGGTGGACAACGGGTACCCGGTACCGTTACACCTGGTAACGTTAGTCCCGGTCCCCACGGAGCTGACACTAAACCGAACTAAAAGTTTAGCCCGGGTTTTAATCCCCGGCAGGCTAACGGAGCGATGCTAACTGAAGCTAACCGCTAACACAGCAGGAACTTTGTGTGATGTGAACATGAAAAGAGTTCAAAGTTTAACGGTTTGATCTGCTTCATCTGACCTACATCAGCCCTCAGCACCGACACAGCACCGGGACACATCCCCGCTCCGCACACATCCACCGTTAGATAGATTTCACCGGTTTGAAGTGTTTAATGTCACCGCGGAGCAAACTTCTGTTTACCTGAGAGGACGGGCCGCGTCCCAATACTGAACACACTCCTCCTTCACTCCTCCCCTCATCTCCTCCTCTCCTTCACACACATCCTACCTTCTTCTTCCTCAGTGTTTCTGATGTGTTTTAAGGAAACACAGCTGTGCAGTTGTTTAACTGTTTAATTTAACCCTTCAGGTGGGTACAGCCTCCACCTGAGGACACATCATCTATCTATCTATCTATCTATCTATCTATCTATATTGAGTATATCTTTCTCCTCCTTTTGTTTTCTTATGTCATGTTGTATTATTACTGTCTGTGTATCTTACTATATAATGATGAAAACTCTGTGTGTGTGTGTGTGTGTGTTCCACGTTTTTCTCCTCACTGACTTGGTCAATCCATGTGAAATTTGGCACAGTGGTAGAGGGTCATGGGAGGATGCCAATGAAGCAATATTACATCAATTGGCCAAAGGGGGGCGCTATAGCAACCCATTGAAATGTCAAACTTTGAATGGGCATATCTCATGCCCCGTATGTCGTAGAGACATGAAACTTTGCACAGAGATGCCTCTCCTCATGAGGAACACATTTGCCTCAAGAACCCATAACTTCCGCTTATATAGATTTTCCGCCATTTTGAATTTTTTGAAAAACACTTCAAATGGATTTCTTCCTAGGAAGTTTGAGCGATCTGCATGAAACTGGGTGAACATAATCTAGGGACCAATATCTAAAGTTCCCTCTTGGCAAAAGTTGGAAAACTTACTAAAACTGAGCTTCTATAAGGCAATGAATATTGCGGAGGGCGTGGCTCATCACATAAAGGTGTATAACATCTCAAGGGTTTCACCCATCACCACTCAACTTTGTAGGCATATGACCACACATAATCTGAGGGGACCCCTCCATTATTGACCCCATCAAACAAAATGGGGGCGCTAGAGAGCTCATTTCTTATCTAGGCCTAACCGCCATATGGATTTTTACTAAACTTGGTAGATATGTAGAACAGGACGCCTCAAGGTGACTGGAGAAATTTAACTCTAATTGGCAACTGGGTGGCGCTATAACAACAGAAAAATGCTTCAAAATGGCTAAAATGCGACCGATCGCTGTGGCTCCCCCTGTGGACCAATGTTGGTGTTGTTTTCTAATGTTTGGTATGACTAAGTTATGGTATGGTATGCTGTTCACGGAAACTGTCAGTGTGTCATTCTGTCAGTCAGTCAGTCTACCAGTGCGCCCCACTTTGAAGTCAATACAACATAAACACTTTATCTGCCTTTCAACGTGCTACCTCAACTACTCATGTACAGTTTTAGCCCTCAGAGGTAACGTGGGGAGTCACGTCTTTAAGCTGTAACAGAGCTAACGATGTGCATAATGACAGAAGTTTACACATTTATATTTGTATGCACGATCTAACTAACATTAGCTCAGGTGGAGAGCCAACAACCAGATTTATACATCCAAAGAACTTCTATAAAAATGAACTGCTTGGAAATCCGACCAGGCCTCTATTTGAGACAGGTGTTCAGTCACACCTGGCTGGTAAAAGGGACGGGGTGTTCAACTGAAGTTTTACAGTATTCTTATCATGTGGAGTTCAGGGTCCTTCCACTCTGGCCCAGAGGAATCAAAGATTACACACGTGGATAAACGTGGCTTCATATATTTATGACTGTGAACTCACTCGTCAAATGAAACTGTACATACTGATTTATTATTAGGCAGATATCTGGAAACAGTAAAGAGAAAGCTTTATTTAAAAACATCCTGTTTACAGTGTGTCAATCATCTATTTACATTTTTAATTTTCACCTCGAACAGCGGAAAGAGTGAAAAAAGTACAAATGACAAAAGAGTCCAAAAAGATAGAAAATGATTTTTACAGAGAGTTTGGACTGTACAGAGTGCACCTGAACACATCACCTCAGAGACTGCTGTGATGTCACACTGACAGGCTGTCCACATGGCTGGACAACAGCTGGTTCTGGACCTGAAGGGGGACATGGAACAAATACTGGTACGACATAGCACTGTACCCAGAAGTGGTACTGGTACTGTACAGTACTGAGCCTGATGGACTCTGAACAAACACTGTGAGGACACTGAGGACACGTCAGAGTCGTCCTCAGCAGCAGGAAACACTTCACACTGTGACACATCAGACAGAGGTGAGTCACATCGATCAACAGACGTCTTTAGAAATGTGTACAGGGTTTGGTTTGTGGCTGGTGACGTTCTGCAGGGGCGTCTGAGCTGCAGGGTCGTATCCGATTCAGACGGACACAGAGTTCAGTATTTACATGTTTCTGTTCTGCTTTGGTGTGAGTTAGAAGAAGTGCATGCTGGGACTCTTTCTGCTCCTCTGAAGCTGCGGTCACATGACAGCTGCTGCAGCCAGTCAGATGTTAAGTTAAATGACATCACCCAGTCAGACGTGAAGGCGAACGTTGGCCAGCAGCAGCAACCTTTGGAGGTGGGCGGGGCTTGTGTTTGGCCATAATGATTGAAAGCTGCATATATGTGTCCTGTGGGGGGCGCTGTGTGATGTTAACAGTCGAGGTGCATTTCATCATGCTAACACGTCTCCTCATTTCACTCACTCGCTTCCTTTCCTCTCAGCTTAGTCCTGCCAACGGGAGATATGAGTGGAGGAGACAAGGAAGAGACGTGAGGACTGAAGAGACGAGGAAGACACGTGAGGACTGAGGAGACGAGGAAGAGACGTGAGGACGAGACATGAGGACTGAGGAGAGAGATTCATTGTGTGCCGCAGCAAAAACTCTCACCATGACCCTCGAGGGCCTCCGTAGTCACACCACTTGATAAAAGACTTCTGTATAGGATACACCTGTGTTTCCGTACTCTAAACTCCTCCTGAAGCCTCCTCTCTCCTCGTCTTCTCATCTCCTCTCTCCATGTCTCCTCTCTCCTCGTCTCCTTGAGGTGTGTCTGAGGGATTAGAAGACCCTCCATCATGGCGGTGGGGGAAAGATTTCCAGGTCACAGGAGGACAGAGGAGGAGGAAAGAGGTGAAAAGAGGAGAGACAAAGACAGAGGGGGACAGAGGAGGCAAGAGAGAAGGAAAGAGGAGGTGAGAGGTGGACAGAGAAAGAGAGAAGAGGATGGATTAGGAGAGGAGGAGAAAGAAGGTGAAAAGAGGGGAGAAGAAGCGAGAGTAGCGGAGAGGAAAAGAGGAGAGAAGAGAGGAGTAAGAAAAGAGGAGGGGGGAGGAGATGAGAGAGGAGAAAAGAGGAGGAAAGAGGAGGAGAGGTGGCAAGAGGAGGACAGAGGAGGAGAAAGAAGGTAAAAGGAGGAGAGAGGAGGACATAGAAGGAGAGAGGAGGAAAGACGAGGCAAGTGGAGTAAAGAGGAGGCACAAGTATGACAGAGGAGGAGAAAGGAGGCAAGGAGGCATAAGTTAGCATAATGAAGGGCACCCCTGATCTCTGGTTCTGGGTGAAGAGTTTCCTCATCATGTGTCTGAATGTGACATCATCGTGTGACATCATCATGTGACATCATCATGTGACGCGTCATGTGACCGTGGCTTCCTGTCAGAGGCAGCTGGAGGTCAGACTGGTTTTTATGGAGCTGAATGATTGAAGTGGACTCAGAATAAAAAGCACAGACGTCATCAGTCAGGAACTAAAACACATTTTCATCACAACACACAGAGAGACGTGTTATTGATTACTAATCAATATTCAATAATCAACATGTTGACGGATCAGAATCCATCCGACCTCCATTAAACACTGACTTCACTTTTTTTTAAAAGTTGCATTTCATTCAAGTTGAGTTCACGGACATCTGTACAAAAGAGTTTCACTGAAGCTCCGTTCAGTCGATGAATAGACCAATCAATCAATCAATCAATCAACACTGTGACATCATCGTCTGATTGTCGCTGCAAACGATTTTCGTCCTGAAAAGTTAATAGGGTTCAACCAGAACACGACGTGGACTCCGCCGTCCTCTTATTGCTCTCAGACCGAAGACCTCGTCAGACTTTTAGTGCAGAGACGTGAGAATACCTGAAGAGTGTCACCTGCTGGTTTCTGTCTGGACTCACCTGGACTCACCTGAGGGATCAAACAGGTCCGATTATCAAAAGGTTCACTCTTTAAAAACTGCTGGTCTGGTGGGCGGAGCTGGTGATGTCAGCTGGTGAGAGTGCAACACTTTCATCATCATCATCATCATCACTTCTATCAAAAGCTGATATAAAACTCTGGTTTGGTCCTGATTGTCTGAGCAGAGTCAGATCAAAGACGTCGTCGTAGAAAATTTAGAAAATGTCCAGCAGAAAAAAAACTGCAGGTCAATTTTAACGTGTCATGTAACAGCTGAGTTTTTACCCAGAAACCCTTTGGGCCGGTCAGTTCAACGATGTTCACACATCAATGTCATTAAACTCATTTCCAGTTCCTGAGTCCAGTCCAGACCCCACCCTGAGGTCAGACTGCAGCCGCCAACAGGACAGTGACATCATCACCCACTGTGTGACATCATGGTGGGCAGGGTTTCAGGTGAAGCTGTGGGCAGGACGCAGCTGCTGGTGTGACCTGAAGAGAACCACCATGGTCCTGGTTCCCCTGGTTCCCCTGAAGATCCTACGGGACACAGTCCAGACAGGTCATGATCCCAGGAAGCCAGCCCGGGATTGGCCCATGTGTCTGTCCGTCAGCGTCCTGATTGGTCGGTGACTCAGACCAGAGTTCCAGGAGATGGCTGGTCTTCCTGTTTCTGAGGAGGGAAGTCGTGGTAGAGAGAACCGTCCATAGACCTGAGAGAGACAAAGAGAGTAAGACAGGTGTGAGAGATCCGTACCTGTACAGGTGTTCTCACAGCAGTGGATCTCTACCTGTACAGGTGAGCGGACACCTACCTGCCATGCAGTGGATGTCCGTGGAATGTGGCTGAATGTGGCAGCGTCTTTTTGTGATGCGTCGGAACGTGATGATGATTCGTCTCCGTCTGATAGGTCGACTGCTGGACGCCACCGTGAGTCCTCCGTCTGCCCTGCAGAGCCCCTCCCCCTCCGGCCTGACCTTTGACCGCTCCGTTCATCTTCGTACTGACCCCCGTGTTGACCTTTCCATTGGTCTGGTTTTGGTGGGTGGAGCCTATTGTGTTCCTCAGGTACCAGTCCCTCAGACCTGTCAATCATACACACAGCAAACATTAAAAGTACAGTAGGTGTTAATGTGTGTGTGCAGGTAAGCTCCACCTACACACCATCTTTGTGCCTCCATTATTTGTCCACCTGGGACAGTTTTTATATCTAAAACTGTATTTTTATTACAGGTGTCCCAGAATCACAGTTTAACTGACATCAAACTGAGTCGTCTCTGTGTGTTAGTCCAGGTCAGTTTCACTGAGCTCCACCAGGTGGCGTCCCCTCCCCTCTGCAGTGAGACCTTGGTGCAGCAGACCGTCAGACGGTTTCTGCTGCAGTGACCCAGTTTCAGCTCTGCATTAAACATTTATGAGATTTTATCTTCACACACTCAGATTTATAATCTGCTCAACTTTAGGTTCAATCTGTTCACTAACAGCAGCAGCAAGCAGGTCTGGGACCTGAGGGGGTCTGAAAGGACCTGAGGGGGTCTAAAAGGACCTGAGGGGGTCTGAGAGGACGTGAGGGGGTCTGAGAGGACCTGAGGGGGTCTGAAAGGACCCGATGGGGTCTGAGAGGACGTGAGGGGGTCTGAGAGGACTTGAGAGGACCTGAGGGAGTCTAAGAGGACGTGAGGGGGTCTGAGAGGACCTGAGGGAGTCTAAGAGGACGTGAGGGGGTCTGAGAGGACCTGAGAGGACCTGAGGGGGTCTGAGAGGACCTGAGGGAGTCTAAGAGGACCTGCGGGTGCCTGATGGGGCTTGAGGGGACCTTAGAGAGGACCTGAAGGGACATGAAAGGACCTGAGGAGTCCGCTCGGGGGCCTGAAAGGACCTGAGGGGACCTGAGGGGGTCTGAGGGGACCTGAGGGGGTCTGAGAGGACCTGTGGGGGTTTGAGGGGGCCTGAGGGGGCCTCAGAGGACCTGTGGTGGCTTGAGGGTGGCTGAGCGGACCTGAGTGGGCCTGAGAGGACCTAAGAGGGCCTGAGGGGACCTGAGGGGGCCAGAGGGGGTCTGAGGGGGCATGGTTAGGGTTAGGCTCTACACTTTCTTGTTAGACTACTTTTCTGATGCGTACCTTCCAGGGCGAGGGCCTTGTGGAGGCTCCTGGTGGCCTCCTCCAGCTGTGCGTCCTGGGCGGGGGGCAGCTGTGGTGGTCTAGGGGGCAGCAGATGGGGGTGTGGGTCTGGCTGGATGGCAGACAGAGGAGGATTATGGGTATCAGTCTGGCTCTGCTGCACTGGGAGGAAGGGGCCGCAGGACTTGGTGCGGGTCACTTTGACTCGTCGCTGGTCGCCTAGGTGACCGCGGTAGGTGGGCGGGGCTCCAGAGGGTTGCTGGGAGGAGTAGCCATTGTAGAGCAGCTGTTGCTGTGATGTGATTGGCTGCCTGTTGTTGGGCTGGGACTGCTGTCGCTGCAGCTGCTGCTGTTTCCCCCAGACGTAGTCCAGCAGGACCTCGCTGTACCCTCCTCCTCCTCTGCCTCCTCCTCCTCTTCCTCGCCCCGCTCCTCCGCCCTCTGTGAGGCTGTTATTTGTCCTCGCCCTTCCCCTCGTCCGACCGTCCGTCAGTGTCTCGGAGCTCCTCAGTGCTCCTGCCGTGTTTGTTCCTCTGGACCCCTGCAGACCATTTACCCATAATCCCCCCTGCTGTGCCCCTCCCTCCTCCTCTGGGGGGGTGATGCGTTCCAGGAGGCCGTCGGAGCTGTTACTGTGGCGAGCTGCGTTAACCCTGACCCTGCCCTCCCCCGCCGGACCTGGATCAGAGGGGCCGGACGAGGAGGAGGAGTCCTGAGAGCGAGGGGGAGGAGGAGGAGGATGGAGAGGGGGAGGATGGGAGGGGGGCAGGGGTGGGGGCTTGTGAAGAGTCTCTGGATGGTCAGTCCTGAAAGAGAAGAGGGACGGGTGAGAGACTGAATGACATCATGATGATGTCACAAAGAGACCCCGTTATCCCACCCACTAGTTTTTACTTTTGTAAATGCCTGTGTGTCTCTCCGTATCATTCTGTGTCCAGTCTCTAAATTTGCAGGGTTTATGTGGGTCAGTAAACGCAGCGCAGGCGGAGCTCTCCATGAGTTTGTGACTGGCAGGGCGGATAATTGATCCATTCAGAGCTGATCAAATCAGATCAATGGATGAGAGGAGCAGCTGTTGAGAGTGAATACAAACGTTTAGACCCAGCAGAATGAACTAGTGATGCACAATTTAAATCAGGCCGATAATGGGACATTTTATAAGGAGGCATTTGTCTGATAATTAAAATTACAGCTGATTAATAGCGCTGATAATACGAGGCCAGACTGCTTTCATTGACTTAACAAGAGCAGCGTCTACACACCCGACACAGTGGGTGGAGCTACATGTACCTTTAAATTTGGTTTGTGAGCCGCCAATAAACACAGAGAAGAAGAACAACTGCAGCAGCTGTCTAGAGGACAAACATGTCACAGTGTGGACGTAGACAACAGGACTGCACCAAGGGTCTGATATCCAACCACCAGACACCACACCAGATCAACCAACTTCCTGCAGCTTTTAAACAGGTTAGACGCAGCGCTGAAGGACCGTCTCCAGAGTGTTAGCACGAGCTAATTAGCAGCAGTGGCTAACACCCAATAGCAAGCTTTAAAAGGCTCAACTGTTGTTAAACTTATTAATAACTGCTCGCAATGTGATGCTACAATTATCTGTATCATTACCTCTCTGACTGTGTGTGTGAGACAGTGTGTGTGTGTGTGTGTGTGTGTGTGTGTGTGTGAGACAGAGCCGCTTGTTACTCTGAGTTGAGTGTTACAAACAAGCAGCTGTGTCTCACACACGCAGTCAGAGTGGTAATGAAACAAATAATCACTAACTGTAGCGTCACATGACGAGCGTTTATTAATAAGCCTAACAACACAGTCGAGCCTTTTAAAAGCTCGGTGTTGGATGTTAGCCGCTGCTGCTAATTAGCTCGTGCTAACACAGACGGTCCTTCAGCGCTGCGTCTAACCTGTGTCTGGCGGTTGGAGATCAGACCCTCGGCGCCTCGAACTACGAAAGACATCCACACTGTGGCATGTTTTGCTGCAGCTGTTCTTCTTCTTCTCTGTGTTTATTGGCGGCTCACAAACCAAGTTGAAAGGCACACGTAGCTCCACCCACTGTGTCCGGTGTTTAGACTCTGCCCTTGTTTAGTCAATGAAAGCTGTCTGGCCTCATATCATCGGTGCTATTTATCAGCTGTAATTCTAATTATCAGAATAATGCATACTCATAAAAATGTCCCATTATTAGCTGATAATTTATCAGCCTGATAGATATAATACATCTCTAATCATTGTGTCGTATAGATCACTGTAAATTTATTATGCTGATCTGTTCTGTACGACATCTATTGCAGGTCTGTCCGTCCTGAGGACAGATCCCTCCTCAGTTGCTCTTCCTGAGCTTTCTACCATTTTTCCCCCATTAAAGGTTTTTTTGGGGAGTTGTTCCTGATCAGCTGTGGGCTTTATAAATAAAACTAAAGTCATAATATCCCCACTAAGACAGCGAAAACACTGTGTGTGTGTGTGTGTGTGTGTGTGTGTGTGTGTGTGAGTGTGAGTGTGAGTGTGTGTGTGTGTGTGTGTGTGTACCTGTTGTGCAGTGAGTTCCTCCTGGTTTTGTTCTGGTAGAAAACCTCCACTGGAGAACCAGCAGCAACCAGCGGGAGGCGACACTGAGACACGCCATCATCTGACAGACAAAGGAACAGTTTATTTTCAGTAACAGTTCCTCTGGTGTTTTCACGCATCACATCCTGGATCAGACTATCAAAATAAGAGCATGATAATAATAAAGTGTTGTTTCCACAGTGAGCCAGCAGGAGGCGCTGCAGCGGGGAGTGTTACCGTTATCCAGTCCTGTTGAGTCTGACGTGGAGCTGCTCTCTGACCTCACTGTGTCGTCTGCAGACACACACACACACACACACAGAGTCAGATTCAGAATAAAGGCAGGAAGAAACAAGTTTCCTCGCCTTCCTGAAACAATAGCCTCTCATCTGCTGCCAGCTGAGTGTGTGTGTGCGTGTGTGTGTGTGTTACCTGTGTGGCAGCCTCTGTGTACGGTCCTCTTGCCGTGGTGTGTGTGTGTGTTGTGTTCAGGGTCGCTGTGTTTCCTCAGAGCTCCACTGAATAAAGTTTTCTTAGGCTTCGAACGCTGAGAGTCTTCCTCCTGGACACACACACACACACACACACACACACACACACACACACACACACACAGGACAATAGTAGACAGGACGTGAAATGACTCGGCAGACATACTGACTGGAAATCTGCTCCCTCCAGGATTTCGCGGGCTGTTTTTGGGCTTGTCGCAGCCTGAAACGCTCGGCCGTAATTATAATAAATCATGACATATTATGATAAATCAATTAAAATGAAAAGTTAAATAAAAAATGGAGTGATTCACTGTTAGGAAGACAAGACTCTTAGCTTTCTATTGATATCAGCATTCTTTTTGTTCTCCATATACTCAGCATAATAGGACACATTACATAAAGACTGTCAGTAGATATTAATCTGCAGTACGTAGTCTCAGAGATACGAGACACAGCCCATCTGTCCTCTGACCTGGGAGCACATGCTTTACTCCAGGGGCTGTCTGCGGGTGAAAAATACACCAAAAACCTGTGGGACGCTTTTATTTTGTAGCCAGCGAGGTGAAACAAGCATACCCCACAACACTGATCAGGAAGGTTAGAAAATATTGAACTGTGGTCTGTTCGACCAACGAAGTGAGCCTACACACTGAGGACAATGTTCACAACTTGGATTCAGTTTTTATGAAAAATGCTTTTGAGTTTTTGATCGGTGGAGCCTGAAGGGTGATGACAGCCTTGTGGTAATGTCTCATTTCACAGCAGCTCGTTTTAAAAAATTGCGATGCGTGATGTAATGAGGTTTTTTTTCCCAGTGAAATTGATTGGATGAATATAGCATGAAAGGGGCAAAGGGGGGGGGGGCATGCAGCAAAGGGCTGTGGGTGGGAATCAAACCCGCGGCCACTGCAGTGAGGACACAGCCTTTGTACATGAGGTACCTGCTCTACCAGGTGACACAGTGGGCGCCCTTAAAGGGAAATTTTGGTTTATTTCAACCTGTCTCCTATCGTCCTAAATTTGTTTCAAGTGACTAGTGCCGAAAAATAATAGTTAGCATGTTAGCCGTTAGCCTAGATACAGCCGGGGCGCATAGTAGCGTCAGACCTGTTAAAACGTAAGTGAACGGGCAACCTTCAAGTGCAAAGTTAGTCCACTAAACAAGCTTTTTTTCCACAAAGACCGCCTCATATCGTTAGGATAAATGTCAGAGAACATATAGAAAACGACATGTAAACGTGTTGTCTTACCTTACCGGTGTGCTGCCATGTTTGTTTACCATTTAGCTCTGCTTTCCAAAGCGCGGCCGAAATATATCTCGCGAGCTCTAGATAAAGCCCAGCTGGATACTACTCCAGGTGGAGGTGTCTCGTCCTCGGTCACATCCAGACCTTGAAAATAAGGCTGCAACCGGTCCCATTCCTTGCAACAGAGGCATTCCTCTTCTGTGGGCACTGGGGCACAGCATTCACAGGTACACCACCAATCTCCAGAGCTACGCAGCCTTGCAGCAGCCATTCCTCCTCTCTCGTCCTCTACCTGTTGCGCCTCTCTCTCTCTCCTCCTCCGTTCTTCAATTTCACGAAGCTCTTCGTCAGTGTATTCTGGCTCAAATAAATAAGGGCGGCCATCAAACTCTGCAAAATCAAATTCCTCCTCCACAAAGTCGAAGTCTGGCAAAAAGTCAGCCATTATTCTATAAATCTTTCATAAAATAAATGAATGAACTTTTCAGGCTACTGTCCGGTTCTGCCTTCCAGCTGTTGCTGCTTGTTCTCGCGAGATTTCAGGCACGGTATGAGATCGCTGCTTGTTCTCGCGATATTTCGGCCGCGCTTTGGAAAGCAGAGCTAAATGGTAAACAAACATGGCAGCACACCGGTAAGGTAAGACAACACGTTTACATGTCGTTTTCTATATGTTCTCTGACATTTATCCTAACGATATGAGGCGGTCTTTGTGGAAAAAAAGCTTGTTTAGTGGACTAACTTTGCACTTGAAGGTTGCCCGTTCACTTACGTTGTAACAGGTCTGACGCTACTATGCGCCCCGGCTGTATCTAGGCTAACGGCTAACATGCTAACTATTATTTTTATGTCACTAGTGACTTGAAACAAATTTAGGATGATAGGAGACAGGTTGGAATAAACTGAAATTTCCCTTTAAAGCCGATCATCATGATCATTCAGTGTTTCCTTCACAATCAGAATCTACGTGTGATTTGATTACAGGAGCACGACTCTCACCTCCACTCGACACTTCCTGTTTCCTTGGCGAGGCGCGCCCCCTCTCCGGCGGACACAGGGGGGTTTCTCTCCCGCCTCCAGGGGGAAGTCACTGGGCACCGCACCTGTCAGCTCCTGACCAATCACCACACACCGCACATTACATCTTATTCAACACAGGACGGTCCATTCTGATTGGACAACCCCTGTTACATGACGACATCACTCACCGCCTCCTGCAGACAGATGCGTCTTAGCTCAGCCAGTCGTGTGCTCAGCAGCGCCTGCAGGCCCCGCCTCCTCTCCTGCAGCTCTGCCATTCGCTCCCTCTGCTTCCTGTCAGGACAGGTGAGAGGGTCTGCACACACACACACACACACACACACACACACACACACATTAAACATAATTCTGTTGCTGTTTGTTCTCATCATACATGTCCTATAAGAACTGGACCTGAACATCCCATCATGCCTCAGTGGGACAACAGGTGATGTGTGAATGAGTGAAGCGTATTCTTGATCTCACGCATCAGCTGTCACATATCAGTTAAAATACCCTGAAATAAAATGTTACAGAGGTCTATATAACAATCAGCTACAGGCTCATCAGTGAATCCAGATTCATTTCAGATAGAAACTACAATAACCACACTGCAGCTTGACTCCGCCCACCAGTCAAGTTTGTCTGACAGTTTACATCCATGTCTGTGAACACATGAGACATCTGAGACATCCGTCTGCTTTCTGAAGTCAGTTCGGTGTGTCTGGGCCTGAACACATGCACGGTTCTCACCAGGTGCCGAGATGAGTTGACCTTTGACCTCCATGGCGTGTGTGTCCCATGTGACCCCGCCTCCTCCCTCCTCACTGCTGGACTCCTGTTCGCCGCCCCACACGCACTCGCTCACCTGCAGAACACATTCAATTCAACCTTTATTACCAACAAGAGGAACAACAACACAGGAGGTCAAACTGAACCCAGAACAGCTGACAGCGTCACATGACGTCACAGACTTCATCTCACATAACCAGGAAATGATCTTCAACAAAATCTTCTCACATGATCTTCAGTGCTTTACCGTACACATCTGGACTTGACTCTCTTTAAGACCTTTCACATCTCAACCAGCAGAGGTTCTGTCCACAACTGAAGACACCTCCAACGCCTCTGTCAGGCCTCGCCGCACAAAACGAGGCCTGACAGAGGCGCACGCCACTTCACATGTAAGAGCTGTGATCTATAAAAACAGACCTGATGGGAGAAACTTTGACCCATGCTGACCAAGATTTTGGAGATGGGGAGGTGGAGCCTGATTGTAGAAACTGTTGAACATGTTTTGTACACGCCATTTTTGGCTTTTGTCTGTTTTTAGTGTGGACCCTACGCTCTGTTTTATAAATGACACCCCTGGTCTGGGAACGCATGGGATCCTCCAGGAGGAGCTGGAGGACGGTGCTGAGGAGAGGGACGTCTGGACTTTAACCTGCTGCCAACACCTCCCGCATAAGAGGCTGAAAATGGATCTTTATCTCCTTTCATTTCCTTTTTTAATCAGTCAATCAGTAAATCTCACCTTGTAACTGGGTTCATAAGAGCTCCAGTAGTTCACTCCTGTTGCCATCCAACAGCCTGAACACCAACTACAGGACTGCCCCACTGGCTAGCTGTTAGCTGTTAGCTGCTAGCTGTTAGCAGTGCAGTTCCCAGGGCGGTCTGTAGAGGAAGTTAAACAGTCTTCAGAACTTCTGACCTGAGGATTAAACAGAAGAAGACGAAGAGGACAGAGTGAGGATATCAATATCAATATCTGAGCCCAATTCAATATCACAAAACATATGAGTGGTGGACGCTTCACTGCGTCACTGGAGCGCTGACAAAAGTTGTGGCCAGCTCAACTTGTGAATGGTTGTCTGTCTCTATGTGTCAGCCCTGCGACCTGTCCAGGGTGAACCCTGCCTCTCGCCCAATGTCAGCTGGGATAGGCTCCGCCAGAATAAGCAGTTACAGAAAACGAATACAATAGGAAGTTAATAACATAACTAGACATTACATAGATTAGTCTCAGTACAAGTCTCGATATGTGTGTCATCATTAAATCAGACTTAATATGGCAGCTTAAAAAAGTGTGTTTTCAGACGGGGTCTCAAAGTGTGAGGCAGTCAATCATGTGGCGGGTGAGAACGTCTCAAGGATCAATAACTCATGGTCGTCTTCAGCGAACAGAACACAGACCACTCAGGAAAAGACACAGGTCTGTTAATGCGCTGAAAAACACATCAACTTAACACCGCAGGAGCGACTGAACGTCAGCTGTTACATTTGCCGGATTTTCAAGAGGGGAGAAAATAATTCAGATTCTGTCACAGACAGTGTTGAACAAAGTTTACAAAGTTTCCTCTGACTCAACAGCTCTCAAAACTCAGACACTTTTTAAGGGAGTCTGGAACATTTTTCTCTCCAGAGACAAACGATTGAAACACAGACACTGTGAAACACCTGGAATCAACTGCAAGGTAATATTTGACTCACAGAGACTCTGTCAGGACAAAGCTGAAAACACAGACAGACAGGCACACAGGCAGACACACAGACAGGCACACAGGCAGACAGACAGGCAGACAGACAGACACACTGAGGGTGATGCCGGTTCAGATCCACTGTTTTAGAGACAAGATGAAGAGAGAACATCGAGTACGGACATGCCTGAGACACACACACACACACACACATACACACACACACACACACACACAGATTTATCAGCGTGTAGACAAAACAAAGTTTTATCTGCCCACAGGAAGTGATGTTACTGTGAGGGCGCTCACCTGTCTGCTCCTCTGTCCCTGTTCACACCTGTGTGTTTTTATACTGTAGATTTATAGACTTTAACTAAGTTCCTGTGACGTTCAGGTTCTTTTACTTTATTATTTTAACTCAGAGTCAGATTCATGTGATTTTGTTTAATGTGATTAATATTTAATGAGCTGTAGTAAATATGATGATAACTAAAGAGATGAAACTTAGTGACCCTCATTTATCAACAACCACCTCTAAAAACTGTCCTCCTCTCCTTCTTCTCTGCACTGTTCCCCATCGTATGGATTATTTCATCTTTGTATTATATTATTTATCTTTCTTTCTTTGGTTGTTTTGTTTTTTGTAAAGCATCCAGAGAAGCGCTATGTAAATCCAAGGTATCATCATTATTATTATAATCATCACTCTAACATATAAACCAGCACAGAAATCATCTAATGATGGGGTTCACGTGTGATTCATGTAACGCTCTTATCTGGCCAATCACAGCGAAGGAATGAAAGAATGATCAGGTGCTGATGAATGTGGCAGTGGAACACAATCGTCATTTACATATCCCACCCAGATATATTCTGGGTTTAGAGTTTACAACATGGAGAGATGGAATAAGACCAAGACGAGAAACTTGTCTGGGCTGAAATGGAAATGCTTACGTCACAGGTCAAGAACGAGATCAGTGATTGTGAATCAGTTTCAGCTGCTCTGTGGTGTCCACAGACAGCTGCTCTCTCCTTATCCTTCCTCACTGATTCTTCTTTGGTTTGGTCTCCTGCTAGTGTCCTTGTCACTGCTGGTAGCATGAGGCCGTACCTGCAGCCCAATCGGCGCCCTGTTCTCTTCACAGATGAGAGCAGGTTCACACTGAGCACATGTGACAGGCGTGAAAGAGTCTGGAGATGCCGTGGTGAACGTTACGCTGCCTGTGACATCATCCAGCATGACCGGTTTGGCAGTGGGTCAGTGATGGTCTGGGGAGGCAGATCCTTGGAGGGTCACACAGACCTCCGTGTCACAGCCAACAGTACCCTGACTGCTGTTAGGTACCAGGATGAAATCCTCAGAGCGACTGTCAGACTTCACGCTGGTTCCTCCTGGTGCAGAGGGCCCTGGGTTCCTCCTGGTGCAGAGGGCCCTGGGTTCCTCCTGGTGCAGAGGGCCCTGGGTTCCTCCTGGTGCAGAGGGCCCTGGGTTCCTCCTGGTGCAGAGGGCCCTCTTGAAGTGACCTGATGTGAGAAGTGATCGTAGCTTCTGCTAACGTCCACACTGATAAATGCCGACATGTAAGTGATCGTTGGTCCAGTTTTCTCTCCGACGCTCATTAATAAGTGAGGGTGAGATCCTGCGCTGTGATTGGCTGTATTTATATCTCTTTACCTCAGATACATGAATTTACATTAAACACAGCTCCTGTCCGCTGTGAACTGTGACTCTTCACCCAGAGAACAAGACGTCCTCCAAATGCAGGACAACACACTGAGCGTCCCTGAGAACAGGAAGTGGAGCCCAACAGGAAACAGGAAGCAGGAAATGAGCCATAAAAAGAGGAAACCAGTGAGTGAGAGAGAGAGAGAGAGAGAGAGACTTGTTTGTTTAGTGGGAGAATAGAGACACACAGACAGGTGAGGATGAGGTCAGACACATGGTCACATGACCGTTATGTAACAGCTGACCACCAGCTGTTTGTGTGTGTGTGTGTGTGTGTGTGTGTGTGTGTTTCTACAATAACAGAATACACACACACAGTTTTTATAAAGTTCACCTCCCACAGAGACACAAATCAAACATCTGTTTACACATTGACACCTGTGTCACTGATCACACCTGTCAGACAGACAGACGAGGAGGAGGAGGAGGATGAGAAGAAGAAGAAGAAGAAGAAGAAGAAGAAGAAGGGGAAAAAGAAAAAGAAGAAGTAGCCGATGTAAACAAACTACAGGTCACATGATCAGGATGTAAACACACAACTGTAGCATGTACTGAGATCAGTGTGTCAGTACGATGAGTCTTCAGTTGAGTTTCCATCTTACAAAGGTGACTCTCTTTTGATCTGGCACCATCGCCATGGTAACCGATGCTGCAGACCTCACCTGGTCAGGACCAGTTTATGTTCAGAGTTTGGGCTTAAAATCAACTATGAAGCTCCTTCTGGAGTCGAGTCACTCTGTGCACTCGTATGTGATCACACACACACACACACACACACACACACAGGCTGAAGCTTCAGGACGAGCTCAGAGAGTCTGACAACCTCAGGTCACATGATCACAACATGAAGCAGTAACACATGAGACATTCAGGATCAAACAGACTGAACATGTTTATCAATACACACACACACACACACACACACATATATGCACACACATGCACACATGCACACACACACACACACACACACACACACACACACACACCCACTCTGGGTGATGAAAGGCTGCAGCTGCAGACAAAGAGATGCAAATACAGGATTTAAATATTCAACACAGATTTACAGTGTGTGTGTGTGTGTGTGTGTGTGTGTGTGCGTGTCCTCTCTGCCCTCAAACCAAAACATGGTGGCAGGAGATCATCACACACACACACACACACACACACTGAGTGTCTTCAGGGGAACGTTCACTCTCAAATGTTGTTCATTGTTTCGCTGTAGTTTCTGGGTTCAGCGTCACGTTTCCTCAAAACGCAGCAAACTGGGCTTTGAGGTGTGTTTTCTCTCGGGTGGTGGGCGTGTCCAAGGTCACACCTGATCAGCAGCTACGTGTACATGATTCAAATGTCTGGTAAATCGAACACTTAATGTTTTTACTTCCCACTCACTTTGGCGGTGTAAACGTGTTTCTCATGATGCCAATAAAGCTCCTTTGATTTGAACTGAACTAAACCGCACCGTACTAAGAGGCAGCGTGCCTGCGTGACACAACAGGGCGCCCAACGCACCTCTGTGCAACGTCACAGTGATTCTGTCTACAGTAAAAGTGTGACATCACAAACTCACAAAAATCCTGACGGCTCATTGAAAGACAGCTTCTGAAAATGAACAGTGTGTTTTTCTCTGTGGGCTGAGTCACAGCTGTTACATGGTCCTGATTTACTTTTTTTAAAAAAACATGGAGTTCTGACTTTTCACAATACGGGACCTTTAAATGTAGTGACATCATGTTTGTTTGTTTGTTTGTTTGTTTGTCTACAGGATACTGCTGCATTGCTGCATCTGCAAACAGCTACTGATGCACGGTTATACACTTTAACATGCTGCTTGTTTTTTTTTGTTATCTATGTCTTGTCTTTATTTCATTAATTATTTATTACAGGTCTATGTTAAATGTTCTTTATTCTGTACGCTGCTGCACCTGGGTCACAAATTTCATGTTTTTAACATGTTTAAATGACAATAAACTGAACCTTGACACACACCTGTAAACACGTGTTTGTGTTCTTCCTTTAATTCACACAAACAATTATCAGCTGTTCAGGAGACGTTCAGGTTTCAAGTCTGCTGCAGTAAATCAGAGTGCTTCAGTTCTACAGTTTAGGGGGAAAAAATGTTTAAAAATATCTTGGCATCTTTTTTGGTGATTTATTTTCTTGGAAAATGTTTGGCATGTTGATTTTTCTTTAAACATGTTTGGTGATATTTAAAGAACACCTGCGGCATGTTTTCTTCGGAAATTTTTGGCACTTTTTTTTAAAGGTTTTTTGGCAATTTCTTTTCTTTTAATATATTTGGCAAATTTTGTTTGTTTCAAAAAAATTGGCAATTTTTGTTTTTCATTTTGGCTCAGGGGTGGGGCATACAAATACAAATGGATTATTTTACCACAGATTTTTAAGGAACACATGCCTTCATGTCAAAATCACCAAAATGACACCATGTATCACAAACAGAAACTGTAAAAAAAAAGAAACTATTGTTGGATTTTTAAATTTCAGACA